ACAAAGTATAAGACAATTCTATACTGAATCTGTCACTAAAGCTGTCGTTAGGTTAAGGACCCTACCCTGCTGAATCTGTCTCTAGGTTAAGGATCCTTCACTGCTGAATCTGTCGTTAGGTTAAGGATCCTTCCCTGCTGAATCTGTCTCTAGGTTAAGAATCCTCCCCTGCTGAATCTGTCACTAGGTTAAGGATCCTCCCCTGCTGAATCTGTCACTAAAGCTGTCTCTAGGTTAGGGACCCTTCCCTGCTGAATCTGTCACTAGGTTAAGGACCCTTCCCTGCTGAATCTGTCACTAGGTTAAGGACCCTTCCCTGCTGAATCTGTCTCTAGGTTAAGGATCCTCCCCTGCTGAATCTGTCACTAAGTAAAATCCTTTTCATACCCTTTCTGTTACAGAATCTGCACAATTTTAACATCTACATTTTGTTTTTAGGGCACACTGTTTGAAAATTAAAAAAAAAATGTGACATCATATTATATCAGTGTGTTTGTGGTATGCTAATATTTCTTCTTCTTCTTCTTTTGTCAATATCTGCTGATGCCGCTAGGCGTCGCAGTTCATCAGATGATCAGCAGCGTGCTCAGTCGCTTCATATGCCCTGATTATTTGCAGTCTCAAAGTGTCAGAGACTCCTTCTTCGTCTCGGTCTTTCCCCTGCCTCTTGATGTTTCAACTGCTAATGATTTGATTCAACAGATTATTTAGGTGTTTCAGTTTGAGGTCTTTTACAGTGTATTATGATTACATCTTTAGACCGAAACAACTTATCCAAAATTTACTTCAAAAAATCTGGGAACATTGCACAAACAAATGTAATTTTAAAGTGTTTAGGTAAAACTATAGGCAATATCTTCAGCAGTTGAAAGACCAATATACAACAGATAAAGTTAATAAGAGTTTTCCAATAAGAATATCAGTGATTTGAGTTTATACTGTTTTAGTTTTTTTTAAATTAAAAAAAACATGTAAAATTAATTTTTTTAAAAGTAGGTTAGTTTGTGTACATCTGATCCTGAAACTACAGGTACAAATACATATAAACTAAAATTGCAAATTCATATACAGTAGTTCATAAAGCTATCAGACTTGGTGAATGGGATTCGTTGTTTTTACAACTTCGCAGCCGTTGTGGTCTAGCAGCTAGATGCTCGCATGCAGATCGAAAGGCCATAGGTTCAAGTCCTGATGGAGTGGAACTTTTAACAAAAAATTACCTTGGCTATCAGGTCAACCCGGGGAGTCGCCGAGGCAATGCGGCTAGACGCTCGCAGCGGATCAGAAGGTCGTGGGTTCGCTCCCTTGCAGAGCCTGCCTTTTTTCAAAAATGTCCTTGGCTCCTAGGTCAACCCAGCCTTGAGTGGGTACCGGGTGCAGTCCTGGGAAGTAGTCGCGGCCGGCGTGATGCTGACCACATCACCCATCTTGTGCTGATTGGTCTATAAAATATAGGTCTAGCCCTATATGCCCTATACGCCTGAAGGCGTGGAAAAGGGTCCTTTACCTACTTATTCAGGTCAACCCAGCCGTGAGTGGGTACCAGGTATAGTCCTGGGAAGTAAAGGCCAGCCTGATGTTGGCCATGTTACCCGAGTGTCCATTGGTAAGTTTTTGCTAACTTGTCAAATTCAAATTCCCACCAATTTTTGTATTTTTTTTGTTTGAAACATGTATCATACATGCAGTTCCCGGCTCTCTAGTGTTGTTGGTTAAACCTGACTTCGCAGTGACCGGGTGACGAACTCCTTGTGGTCAGGGTTCACTCCTGGGGGGTAGGTAGAAAAGCCACATTTCCCCCAGATTTACGGTACCTATTATGGAATCAAGACCAAAGGGTTGCGATGTCCATAGTACCGAGCCAAAGGGTTAACAACTCATGGTTTCTGGATATTAAAAAAAAAAAAATCATACATGCAGTGGTTGTTTGAAGACAGAACACTCACCGAGAGAATAAACCACAAAGAAAAATAAAACTTTTCACATTAACATTGTCAACAGATTGGACTCGTACATACTGCACTCAGTATGATACTTGTTGCATGTTGTCCGTACAGAAATCCTAGCACATTGGTGTGACCCATTCGTGTTCCATCCTCCGATACAGCAGCCATCTCGGTATCGCCACGTTCAACGTACCCAGTAGGAGTTGACTGGTACATCTTCTTTCCTTGTTACATAACTTTTTTCTACATGCATGTCCTTGTTTCATATCCATTTCCAACAGGGACTTATCGTCTCTCACTCCCTACCCAGTATGAAAAATAGGAAAGTTGTGAACAGACAAAGCAACAAAACACCAAATATGAACAAAGTGGACATGTTCTTAACATACAGAGTACTCAGCATGAACAAAAACAGAAACAGCTTATTAGGTAGCAAATAATATATAAGATACGACAAGATAATTTGATCATGTTGAATATGCATACAAGAAATATCAACAAAGAATTAATTAAAAAGAAAGGCTTTAGTTCTAAGTGCCATAGATTTCAACAAACAAATATGCTATTTATAATATGCAAGCAAACATATAAATTTTCGGAAAAATTATTATGTGTGTGTATATTTGCATTTTTTTAAAACACTGAAAAGACAACATTATGTACTACTCATATTTCTGTGCGGATTTTTAATCATGGTATGGGGTGTTGCAGCTTGACCCAGCCTGGGTTCAGAATGGCTGTCTACAGGAAGTAAAGACAGCCAGCGTAATGCAGACCACATTATCCGCCTAGTACCGATGGTCTGTAAAAATATGGGTGCTCTGCCCATATACGCGAAACACCTAAAGGCGTGAAAAGGGATCTTTACTTTACTTACTTCTCACAGTTAAAAGTGATCAGGAAATAGATAAATATTATGTCTCTAGCGAATCAATAAATATATCTCTAAATTATGTCTCAAAAATATGTAAACAAATTGAGCTCTGTTTTTTCCACACCACTGAATAAGAACGGGAGTCGCCATGGCAAAGCAGCTAGACGCTTGCCTGCTAATCGGAAGGTCACGGGACTTTTTTCTTTCCAAAATGATCTTAGCTCACATGTCGACCCAGCCATGAGTGGGTACTGGGTGCAGTCCCGGAAAGTAAAGGCAGCCGGCATGATGCTGACCACATTATCCATATTGTGCCGATAGGTCTAGCCCTATATCCCTAAAGGCTTGGAAAAGGGACCTTTACTTTACTAGATAAGAACAGTACAGATTAGCAAGTTTGGCACAGATGACCCTACTAATGGAATCTGTAGAAGTTTGCGGGTAAAAAGCTTTTTTTCATGCCTTACTGGATTACATAGTAAGTTTTTTATTTCAAATATGCTAGGCCTATATTGCAACACGATCAATTAGCTGTAGACTCTAGAAAAAAATGTACACCCATAAAGTTAGCTGTGTGTCCTTTACAGTACGTTGCAGAACAAATTCCCTGCACTTTTCTTATGGATGTTTGTGATTTCACTAGGCAATTTTTACATTCAGTTCTGTAGCTTAAGCGTTGCGAATGCGCTTTGTAATGCCTGGGTGCCCGGTTTAATCCCAGCTGCAGACAATTTGTCTTGTGTTGGTTTTGACAGTGGTACCGAGAGCTGACCTTTCAGAAAGCAACTGCAAACTACTGAATGTAAAATTTGCCTAGAAAACCCCAACAGCGAAAACAAATGCAGGGGTTGGTTCTGCCATGTCCTGTAAACGATATGCAATTAACTTAAGTCTGCCACTGTTTTCTGAATTGTCGGCTCTTAATAACACTGCTGACCATACTACAAGGTGGTCTGCTGCCAAATTTCCTATAGCTGGGATTAAAACCAGCACCACAGAATTGAAAAGCATGCTCACAATGTTCAAGGCACAGATGCCCAAACCTTGGTTTCAAAGACCCCTATTTAACTAATATCGGAAGTAATGGACAAAATGTTCAGCGGCACGTTAGTATTAAAAAAAATATGTTAAAATGTAAGTCACAGAGTGTAGCAGCTGCCGTTAAGTTTAAATTATTATATGTACAGTGTACATGTATTTTACAATGTCACACTGGATGCTGTGCTTGATTATAAGTATTATTCTGTTTTGCTTCTGTTTGTAATGCAACTGTTGCTATATTACCAGTACAGATTACACACTACAGATTCTATTTAGGCCACAACAGACAACTGAAAATTCCTTAGCTATTGTTCTTATAATTTCTGTGTTAAAGCAAGGTATTTGTATAGTTCCTCCCTTTGTTTAAAAAAAAAAAAAAAAATCATCAATTTCATTAATCAAATTACTCCATAACATGTTTTGTTGGAAAATTAACAGATTGTAAGTTCCTGCTTGGGTAATCAGATTTCTTTAGTAGCTCTGGCCAAATGTACAGTGTAAATAAAACTTCAGTCACAATGTTTGGGAATTCTTGGAACAGTCATTCACAAGTTATGTGATGTCAAGAGTCAAGCCTAGATACAAACATTCATAACCGTTATCAAGTTATGTGGAAAGACTTTGTATTGCATCCGGTTTACTCTGTTTCTCATTATCATGTTATTAAAACAAGGCATTTACAAGGCTTAGACAAATTCACTGACACAAATTAAGTGACTAGAATAGGAGATTAAAAAATAAGTCTTGCATTAAACTCTAGTACATCCAGGATCAACTAAAAATAGATATTTTTCTCAAATGAAACAACTTACAAAAATAAATGAACAGAATTTTAAAAATGCTGTTAAGCAGTAATTGTTTATAAATAACATTTCTATAAAATAAAATAAAAAAAAAAAAAAATTCAATTAAGAACAATTTGGAACCAGTCAGAAAGCCCTTACTGGTAGAAATCTCATTGATCATTTTGTGGTGAAGAACAAGTCACAGAAGATGGTAAACAACAAGACATGGAAGTTGTTTCAATATTTAGTTGTGTGTTTAGGACAATCCCACAAATAAAGCCAACAACATGGCACGACAAATGCTTGCTTCACCATGTGTGTAAAAGACAATTTAGCAATGAAGTCAATCAACTTTCAATATGTCAGGGAGGCTTCTCGCAGCACAGTGACCCATCTGAGGAAAAGCAACCGGAAAAAAGTTAACAATCAGAAGAGCTTTTAATGTTTGCATCAGGAAAACATAAAAGTCATCCACAAATTAAGCACTAATGCACACATTTCCTAACTGTTCTTCTTCTACTCTCGACACCCTAATTAAATATAGATTGACCTTCAATTAACATACATCAAGTCATCCTACCCTTCGCCAACATGTGCAACACATTTCAGACTCTTATTTAGTAAAGTCTCTAGTTTTCTTCTCCATGTTTTTCTTTTCGGGGGGGGGGGGGGGGGGGGGGGTCGTCCCTATATTTTCTTTGATCCTGTGGGTTCCAGTGCAAAGAACATTCTAGTTATATTATGATCAGGTTTTCTCAATGGGGTTCATTCTTGTTTGCTTCCTTCAGTTACCTCAGCAAAGTCTCAGACAGAGATGTACAAAGTCACATGCATGCTCTTCCTAATGTTTTGTACTAGTGTTAAATTTATCCAGATTTGTTTCTGCTAATGTCTTTCCATGTTTTACATGGTTTTTCTCTTGCTCTATCATCATCATCCTCTTTATGTGCTCTGCCAACTGGCGCGGCGCTCATGCGTCTCCACAGATCACATTCCCTGGTTGCCTGGAACAGCTCTTTTGATGATATCCCTCCATGCCATCGTTTCAGCCCATCCAGCATCATCTCTCTTGGTCTGCCTCTACTGCCTTTTCCACTGATCTTTCCAGTTGTCACGATGTTGTCCAATGTCTCATTATGTGGCCAAAGAACAGTGTTTGACTCTTTCTTATTGTTGTATATAGAGATCTATTTTCATTAGCTTCACTTGCTCTATGTTTATAATATTTCTTAGTGTGGCTCTCTGTGTCTGGGGTATGGTATTCTCATCCGATGTCCAAATCATATTTGCATCTTCTTTAACGAACTGAATGACTAGTTAAAGTCCTAGTCTCTCAAGAAGAGCAAGAGGTGGGCAATGATACAAGTGGGAGGATAATATCAAGAGATGGATGAGCAGCAGTCTGAGAGAGTGTACAACCAGGACAAGAGAGCGTGTTGGAGATTCATTGCAGCCAACCTTCAGTGTGGAGATGGCACCTGACTGATTGAATAGAAAAACATTTACATTATAAATGACTGTTAGTACACAGACTGAATTTGACAACCAGTGGTTTAAAAAAAAAAATATTTTTAGGTGTCCCCTACCCAAACATATACCAACACTGCCTGTCCCCTCCCACTTCTTTTATTCCCAACTAAAAACTACCACACAAAAAATGTGACTGAAAAGAGGAGGCAAATTTACACAATGCTCATGAAAACCAAAATATTTTTTTTTTTTTTTGTGGTTTTGTTTGTAGCCTTAAAAATATTTTTTGGTTAGAATAACAGATTATTAATTCCTTGAGTACCAGAAGGTTTTACAGGAGATTTGAATATGTATAAAAAACAAATAGGAAAAGCAATAGTGTATTGCTTTTAAAGACGCAAAATATTGGGGAAGCCAGATTTCTTAGTATACTGTAACCATGAGAAGGACTAGAATATAGTACAGAAGTGGTAATCACACTTCATATGCTGTTTGGGACTGAAAGAGGTACCCATGCACTCAATTTGAAACCACTGCCTTAGTCAGTGTGTAGCATGTCATTTGTAGAACCATGCTCCCATAACAACCTTCCTGAAAACTTCTTGATCACAAGCAAGATATCCTGCGTCCGATACACTCATCTGGAGATCATCCGTCACATCCTGCACTCATCTTCTTTTTTACCTTCTTCTTACTCTCCTCCCAGGCATATACCCCTACATTGTTGTTCTCTCCAAACTTTTGTGACGTTTCAAGTGACCAAAATATTTCACTTTTCTGTGTTTTATCGTCTTTAATAGCCAACCTTCTTCAGTATACAGTTCTTGAAGTATGGATGCATTTGTTCTTTTTTTTTATCCACGATATTCTTAGAACCCGTCTATAACATTTGTATTCAAAGGCATGTATGCGCTGCCCAGCTTGTTTGGTAAGTTTCCAGGTCTCACAGGCGTATGTTGCAATGAGAAAGACGCATGCTCTTAGAAATCTAATTATTATAATTCCTTATGTCTCACTTCATAATTTATTCAGTTATTTTAGTCTTTGAAGAGCAACTGATATTTGTCTAATTTCTTTCATTGTCACTATTGTTGGTAATCAATGACCCAAGATATTCAAAATTTTCCACAACCTCCATTCTTTCCTCATTAACATGTACTTCTTTCTCCAAAGTAGTTTTATCCGTATGCATTTTCTTTGTTTTTGCTACGTTGAGATATAAGTTGTGATTTTCATTACTTCTTTGGGTTGAGGTTATTAAGTTTTCTATACCAGTCTGTGATGTGGATAGCAATACTGTATCATCGGCATATCGGATCTCTGGTATTTCATGACCACCCATATTTAGGGTATTGCCTACGTCAGACCCAATTACCAAACCTCACAGCACGAACAGCACCCAAGAATAAGATGGCGTATAAAAAACTACCTTCAACCTAGTCTTTTGACTTTAGAAGTAACCTGCCATGATATGATATTTAAGGAGAAATATGATACTGTGACTACAATTTAAACTAACATACTTGGTGGTAGCAGCCAAACTGTCTGTTCGAAATATAAGTCTCTGAGTGGTTTTCTCCGAGCCAAGTAATACACGCTGGTCTCCCTTCTTGCGTGCGGTTAGGGGCTGGTTATTCTGATGAGTTAGTTCAAACAACAAATCTGGTTCTGCACCTTCAAAGTACTGAAATAGAAGGTTTTGTGTTGGTCAATTATTTTAAAATACTCTAGAGAGAAAGCCAAAACAAGTAAACAAACAAAATAAAGACAGGAAAGGGAAAATCTTTTGGCACAAACATACCATGGACAAGGAAAAAAAAAGAAATACTGACTCCCTAAAAGATCAGAACATCAAGGAAGTTTGGCTAGTAAACAGCATCATGTCTCGGAAACTGAAATATTTTGGCCATATCTAGCAACATGGCAGACTGGAAAATAATAAAAGTAGAAGGCATGGTACCAGGAAAGAAGAGCACAGGATATAAATAATACCTTGGGTAGGAAAGTGCACAAGGCAGGAGAGCCAGCGAGTAATTGAGTTTCTTTCAGGCAGACCTTGATGAGAGCGATGTTCTGCAAATGAGCTGCTATAAGACAGAGAGGGTGAGAAACTATACCGACCCTTTTCTGTGTCATGACAAAAGGCTATCAAGCATCTTCTTTTACTGTCTTGTCTTTCTCTAGTAAAAGTTTTAAAAAAAAAGTAAAGGTTCCTCTTCCACACCTTTAGGTGTATAGGGCATATAGGGCTAGACCTATATTTTTATAGACCAACCAGCACAAGATGGGTGATGTGGTCAGCATCATGCCGGCCGCTTTCACTTCCCAGACTGCACCTGGTTCCTACTCAAGGCTGGGTCGACCTGAATTTAAGTTTTGCGGGCACAGCCATCGATTTACAGATTTCACTTATTTTTTTGCAGACCACTGGTTTCTCGCCTCTCAGGAAGATGAACTCCAACTTCTTAGGAAACAACCCTAAATAGTCGCCTCCTACAACATGCCCCCTCCCCTCCTTCCCCAAAATTAGGCCCCGGAATCCACAAGGGAAACTTCTTCTGACAACTGCAAGTTGTCTTTGAGTCTTAGTTTCTTTTACAATCTTTGGATTAATCACTTTGGCCTACCAAGGAAGTTTAACTCTTTTGCTCTATGAATGCTAAATAAATGAGCATGAACCCGTGGGACCTCCCCCCTCCCCCCCCCACCCAAATACTAAAAAAAGAAACACCATATTAAATGGGTCATTAATATAATTTTATCTGAAACATATTAAGACATATAAAAGGGTAATCATTATCTACTAACAAAGTGAAGCATTACACAGAATACATTCCCCAAATTAAAAAAAAAATTAATATGTATATTACATTCCCAAAGCCCCCCCCCCCCTTTTCCCAAATTAATATGTATAATACAAAGCCCCCCCCCCCCCCCCAAATAATTAATATGTTAATACAATCCCCAAAACCCAAAAAATTAATATGTATAATACATTCCCCAAAACAAAACAAAAAAATAATGTGTATAATACATTCCCAAAAGTCAAAAAAGAATTAATGTCTAATACATTCTCCAAAAGCAAAAAATTAATTTGTATAATACATTCCCCCCCCCCCCCCCCCCCCAAAAAAAAAAAAAAAACATTTGTATCAGGGGACTCCCGCTGTGATCTCATGATCTCTAGCACTGAGGCTTACAGGAAAATCAGTCACCAACTTGACTTTAAGAGAGATTTAGTCATATAAGGAAACTTACAGTGTTCGGCGTCTGTGGCTTAGGCGCTGCAAACTGGATTCTAAATCTGAGGTACACAGTTCAATTCCAGCTGCAGGCGATTTGGCAGAAGACAGCTTTATGTTGATTTTGACAAGTGTATCTACAGCCAACTGTTCAGTAACAATGGCAAACTACAGAAACTAAAATTGTCAAAGAAACTAAAACAGCTAACAAATGCTAGCGCTGGTTCTGCAACCTCATGTAATGCACATACAACTAATTTAACAGTGCTCACCTCAAAAAACAGAGAAAACTTACAGTGTTTAGTCTTGTCACGTCATATCCGAGCAGGGGCATACTTTCAGTTGCTGCCATATCCTGTGAAAGACATAAAAGAAACCCTAGCATGGCTGATGAGGTTTAAGGTTTTGAACAAGGGTTCAACATCATGGCATATGGGTAGAACCCATAAGTTCTCCGTTCTTCTTCTAACTTAAGTCTGAGTCTGAAGAAGCTCAGCAGCACCTCAAGGATTCTGCAATACTTTGGGTAGATTTTAAACTCCAAATTTTGCCCGGGCAGCACCGTTTGGCTACTCTTTTCGAATTCCAACTGCCAAGGGATTTTTAACGTGCGCAACAATGCACATGGGCGTCCGATCTCACTACCCAGAGACCAGGGGGAATTACTGGAAGTTCAAGTCTACAGGAGAAAATCCCAGCTCTTACCGGGGATTGAACCTGGAACCTCTAGCACTCGAGGCAGACACCATGCCTCAAGACTACGCAGCACCCAAAAAGTCATGTAAGAATTGAACCGGGCACCTTTCATTTATAAGGCAGATGTGATACCAACTACGCTAGACATTCACATAAGTTAAAAAATTATGCAATTTGATCTCTCAGAGTATATGTCAGGCAAAGATGACATTTCAAAAGATGAAAAATATCAAACGCAACAGGTCTCTCTCATGAAACATAAGATAAAGAGCACTGACATGTGACACTGACACAGTGCTGTTATATGTGAATTTTAGAATGTGAATGAGAAAAGTTACCAACTTAGGAGGCTGTGGAGAAATGATTGGTGAGACGCTTGCTATGGATATCATGGACAGTCAGAGTGACCAACAATGACTGTCTAGAAATGGCTAACGAAATGGGAAAACTATATACAACTATAAGATCTGAACATTCAAAGAGACTTGGCTAATAAACAGCATCTTGTCTCAGAAGCTGAAATATTTTGGTCATATTAAGCACCATGGCAGACCGAAAAACATAATAGAAGAAGGCATGGTACTAGGAAGGAGGGGCAGGGGCCGACCAACAGAAAGATGTGCACAGGATATAAGTGACTGCTTGAAAATGAGAGCACACAAGGTTGTAGAGCTGCCGAGAGCCCAAGTTTATTTCAGGCAGACTGTGATGAAAGTGACGTTCTGCTAAGAACCTGCTACATGATGATGATGATATAAAACTATAAGAAAGAGGTAGTGTTCTTCGGTCATGTGATGAGAAGAGAGGCATTAGACAACATCATGTGGTAACTAGAAAGATCTCATAGCAGAGGCTGCTCAAGGGAGATATCTGAGAAAGGTGGTCTGAATCAATGGCAGGGAGGAAAATTCTCAGCAGAACTGATTCAGAATAACAAAGGCAGAGATCTGTCGAGAGTACCTGTGTTGCCTGGCAGGGCCCATGGTGAGGTAAGGTCAGTTATATAAAATCTGTCCTGGTGAAGATTAAAACCATATCCTTACGTCCTTTTTTGGACAAAATTTTTTGTTATTTGAAGCCCCACCCTGGCTTTTGCCAGGGGCCACAATATAGGCAGCCCATAAATATGGCCGATTGTCTGAACGCGGTTTCTGGGACCTCTCCATGGCGATCCTCACCCACATGGTGGCACTTTGTGTCATCTGGTGTTTATCGCTTGTGGGGTAGAAAGTCAGTCAGTCAGATTAAAACCTAAGAAGCTTGAGCCGGAAAGCAAGCGTCGAGCCAATGGGCTACCGTGGTCCCTCTTGTCTTACATAACAGCATCATATTATTGCGTCCTAATATAGTTTATTATTATTACATTATTAGTTTATCTATGGAGTGCTGACCGGATGAACGGTTAAGAATATTGGGCTCCCATGCCAGAGACCCAGTTTCAAATCCTCAGGAAGGTTGTGGATTGTCGGGGGTAAAAATAAAACCTAACCAACACAGTCTCTAGCGACAGCACTAGCAATCCGACCCTAAATCCTCAGATTCAAACACCTCTCCCCCTTTACACGGCAGAAGTGTTAAACACAGGCAGTAATGGCAGTAAATGTACCCTATTGCCAGTCTGCCTTTGTTTAGTGTTTGTGTTTTTGTTGCCTGCTGATGAAGGCTTGTTGCCACAACATCCTCTACCTTTTTGTGTGTTGTGATTTTGTTTTTATAACTGTAAATGTGTAGAGTTGATGTGTACTTCATAGTTTGTTAAGTTTAAAAAAAAAAAGTTTTTCCCATTTCCTTTTCAGGATTGCAATCAGTAGGATGAACACTCCAAGGATGAGACTCAAACAGGTAGAAATCCAAGAAACCATGTTTCACTATATAGCCATATAGTAAAGTAGGACCCTTTCCACGCCTTTAGGTGTATAGGGCATATAGGGCTAGACCTATATTTTATAGACCAACTGGCACAAGATGGCTGATGTGGTCAGCATCACGCCGGTTGCCTTTACTTCCCCAGGCTGCATCCGGTACCCACTAAAGGCTGGGTCAATCTAGGAGCGAAGGTCATTTTTGTAAAAAAAAAGTTCGGCTCTGCCAGGGAGCGAACCCACGACCTTTATGATCTGCGGCGAGCGTATATAGCCATATAACAATGATATATTGGGCATTCTGATATTGCTACTGTTGATGATGATAATGTTCAACCCCTACCATGACATCACACCAATCAATAAACACCTGGTGACACAAAGTGCCACCATTCGGATGAGGATCACCCAGGGACACATTCAACACATAGGCTGGGTTATATTAGGGCCCCCAGTAACAGCCAGGGTAGGGCTTTAAAACAACAACAAATTTCATCCAACATTGGGCTGCATAGTTATTTCCTAATGTTTGTATTTCCACAGCTTTATCATAGTAATGCCAATTCATTTATGGAGGTTATAATGAAATATGGATACGCTGAAATCGAAAACAATTTTCACTAGAACTATCAATTAACAGCCTAACCTCGTTCCTAACCTCTTTCAGCCCTCAACACAGAAAAGCACACACAGAATGTTTCTCTGTATTTTGCAGAACATGCTTCTTACCTCACTAGCTTTGTATGTGTAGAGTACCTTCCCTTTAACAACAAACCAGAGTCGCTTCCACTTGCGTGACCTATATACTCGCAGATAGCCACTCATGTCAGACCCTTCATCGTTAGCATGAACCTAACAAATAAATATAAGGGTCAGTTAAATAACTCAGGTACTAACTGACTTCATTTATGTTTAGTAGCAGTGTCATTTATACATAATGTAAAAGACTTAATGAAAACTTGAAAACAAAAACAAAAATAAGGCGCTCTCATGCTCCAAATGCATGGCAAATGGTATTAGACCAGTGGTTCTCAATTGTGGACAAATCCACAACCCTTAAGCCTCTTTTGTTTTTGCGGTTCTAATATCAGCATCATCATCATGTGCTGTGCTGGTGGTAAAAACTTGGCTTGATTTGGGTGAGGGCGTATGCACCGTTGGCAGATACAAGACAGAAGAAGTTTTGTGAAATATACCCAAGGTAACCAAAAAAAAACCCAGCTGAAACTTTCTGATGGGATTGTGCAATAAACTGTACAATGTATATGATTCAATGTGCTTGTTATCTAACAAATGTGCATTCCAGAATAACAGATTCAATGTGACACATTTAAATATTTACTAAAGTAGGGCAAGTTGTGGTAGCGCAACAGCAAGTCTTGGGTTTAAATCTGCAACAGGACACTAATTTTATAACTGACTTTTATGCTCAGGTCGATTCAGAATAAAACTGGTACCAGAACATAGCTGGCATAACGCTGACCACACAACTGATTGATTACCAGCTTGTCTATAAAAATACGGGCCAAATAAGATAGTGGTGTCGAAAGTGTTCTTTTTGTTAAAGAAAACTGTCGACTGTTCATAAGATCAAAGTTTTAGTTTTCATTGTTCAAATTTTGGATTACAAACCATGAAAAGAAAAAAACCCAATTATTTATCTTACTTACTTACTTAGTCACTCTTCTTCTACCTTGGGGTGTAGAGGTTTGACAGAGAGATCGCAAGATGTCTCTATCAGCAGTTTTCTTTCTGGTTTGGTTCAATTCCAATCGTCTGTCAGAAGTTGTCTTCCCAGCGCACCCTGAGTCGTCCTGGAGGTCTGGTTCCCTGGTTCTTAGCCTCCCATGCCTGCCATGGTGGTCGATTTTCTCCCATTCTGCATACATGTCCAAACCATCGTAACTGTGCCTGATCCACTCGGGTTTGCAAGGGCTGGGTATCAAGATCTTGACGTATTGTCTGATTGAGAACTTTGTCACTTCTTGTCACTTGGACCACCTTTCTCAGATATCTCATTTCCGAGGCCTGAAGCTGACTTCTGTAAGCTGTTGTCATCGCCCATGATTCACCCCAATCATTTATCAAATAATCAAATTTTCCCACAGCCACTAACCTCTTTAAGAACAGAAGGCCTAAAGTTGTTAGGCCTACGCTTCTCCCGATTGCTAACACGGATCTTCTGAAACCTGGACATAAGATGGTGGAGACTCAGACCGGAGTCATGTTTCACTGGATCCGAACCTCTGACCTCTTCCTCAGCAACATCAGCAGAATCATCTGTAACTCCCTCCGACACTGATGTGCTGGAGTCTTCTTCTGATATTGACAATGTTGTACTTTTTCTTTTGCTGGATTTGTGTTGATATTCACTAGCCATGTCTGTGGACAGTGATATAACATATAATGTAAGTTCAAACATGAAGAAAACCAGCAAAGTTCTTTGTGTCCCTAGCCATGTCTGTGGACAGTGATATAACATAAAACGTAAGTTCAAACATGAAGATAACCAGCAGAACTCTTTGTGTCCCTAGCCATGAGGCACTGGAACTTGGGGTCGGGGTGAGGGTGAGGGGAGTAGGGTTAGATCCCCTGAGTTCCCCATGCCCAGCCTTTTCTCCCCCAACCCCCCCCCCCCCCCCCCCCCCAAAAAAAAAAACCCCCAAGTTCTAGAACAAGACCAAAGTCTGGATATGGATTAATAACCAGCTGGAGTTCACAGCTGAGGAGGAGGAGGAGGAGGTGGAAAAAGAATAATAATAATAATAATAATAATAATAATAATAATAATAATAATAAGAAGAAGAAGAAGAATAAGAAGAAGAAGAAAAAGAAAAAGAAGAAGAAGCTTTAATTTGAGAATTTTCTGGGAGAGAAAGTTGACGAAGAAAAGAACCAACTCCACCTCAGAGGTAATAGTCTAAAACATGCTGATACATAATACGGCACGGCTCTATGGCTCACAGGTTATCAAATGTAATTTCCTGATCCTTGAGTCCTAAGGGTTGGTTCCCTGTGGTGAGCAGTTTAAAAAAAAAAAAAAAACGGTATGACAGTCACACCATAAAAGAAACTGAGCCCTAAAAATTTTAGTATTTCCAAAGATGACAGTGGTACACTGTAGCCAACTTTCATCATGGAGACGGCATACACTTTATTATTATAACACTTCAGCAGAATGCAATGGCAGTTTGTGACTAGTGTGATCTTGTAACATTAACCCTCGAGCGTGGACTGGTTTATGAAAACTTAAGTCTAGCACCAGGCCCGAGATTGTGTTTCCTGTACATAATGATCCGCATACAGCTCTGTATTTCTTTCTAATGTTCAGAACTACCATTGAAATATTCAGGGAAGGTTACTCTACCACTTCTACTTTGTCTTTCTCTATACATTCAGGTGTAAATTTATCAAATTCATTGCTTCTGTCATTTTCAGACAGTGAATTTTCCAATTTTGTGTTCAGCTGGTCATGGATATCAATGTTCCGAACACATCACAGGCTGAAGCTCTGAAATGGTTTCATCAAATGTTTTTTAAAATTCTGATAATGATAATGAAAACCTAAATTTTTCTGAAAGTGATTTGGCTGATGAATTTACGCCAGCAGCAGCTGAGTGGTTAGCTGTTTGAAATCTAGCAGTTGTGACGAAGTAAACCCAAAAGGACCAATTAATTTGCCAAGGATGTGATAGTTACCCACATTTGCATCCACAGGACCATTTCAGACGATACAATACTATGGCGAAGCTGCACTGAAATCACTACAGGTACAGTCTGTATTTAACTGTACAAAGTTAATATTTTATATGTATAGGTCCAATTTTCTGCCATTTAAAAAAAATTTTGTTAAGCACTCTGTGAGAATCAAGAACTTTTGAGTGCTAAACTAACCCAGAAACTTATCATAACTTTTGAATTTTTTAGGAAATTGAACAAACTTTAAAGTGTTATTCTCAAATTTGGATATCCACTGCTTTTGTGGCTGCAAAACTATGGTAAATGAAGAATGTTTTTGGTAAAATTTGGTCTGTGTAAACATACCACCTGCTAAATTATTTGTTTCTTTAACTACAACAGGATTTTAAAAAATGTATCATCAGATTCAAAATGTACATTCATTCCTCTTTAATAAATACACACACACTTTTTTATGGAGTAGAAATTTATTACATTCTCAATTCCTTTTTTTTTAACACCACTTCCTCCGCCATTTTTTTTGTAAATGGAAAATTAATGCGAGCTAAGTCTGTCAAAATTCATGGGCCTGAAAGAGTTAATATAAAGCTAAAATAAAAAAATAAAAAACTCAGTATAATTATATATAAAATGAATACATAACCGACCTGCTTTCAGCTTCTCGAAGCAATGATCACAAACTCTAGCTGGCTCAAACTTGAGATATCTCAAGGGGGCTTTGTTGTCAGAGCAGTTGGAGCATACAACCTGTTAAAGGATATAAGTCAGAAAATTACAGTTACATGACAGACATAAACCAGAAAATGACAGTTACATGACAGACATAAGCCAGACAAAGACAGTTACGGGACAAATGATAGTTACAGGACTGACATAAGCCAGCGAATGACAGTTCCATGACTGACATAAGCTAGCAAATGACAGTTACATGACAGACATAAGCTAGCAAATGACAGTTACATGACAGAGGTAGGCTAGCAAATGACAGTTACATGACAGAGGTAGGCTAGCAAATGACAGTTACATGACAGAGGTAGGCTAGCAAATGACAGTTACATGACAGACATAAGCTAGCAAATGACAGTTATATGATAGGTGTAAGCTAGCAAGACACAGGACAGACATAAGCAAGCAAATTATAGTTAAATCACAGGCCTGAGTTAGCAAATGACAGTTACAGGACAGACGTGAGCTAGCAAATGAGTTACATGACACACATAGGCTATTAAATAATAATTACACAACAGATTTAGGCCAGACATGATAATTTCATCAACTCTTTGCACACTAAAGGGACTTTCACACACAACAACATGCCAACCACCCTTTGAAGGGTGAAAGAAGAAGAAGAAACATAATGAAGATGCCCTAAAAGAAATTAACTTACAATGAGAACTGATTACTCTATAAGAAAGAGACAATAAACATTCTTCAGGTACATCATAAAACTGGAGCACACATGATAATATGAAAGAGAGGGGCAGATCAAGAACGAGAGGGGCAGATCAATTACGAGAGGGACAGATCAACAAGAAAGAGAGGGGCAGATCAAGAAAGAGAGGGACAGATCAAGAAAGAGAGGGGCAGATCAAGAAAGAGAGGGACAGATCAAGAAAGAGAGGGACAGATCAAGAAAGAGAGGGGCAGATCAAGAAAGAGAGGGACAGATCAAGAAAGAAAATGGTGACATTACTGCCTGTATTCACCATTTGTGTGGTGTGTAGGTAGAGATGGCCATGAGCCTAAGGATTTACAACTGCATGGCTAGTGCTGTAGCCACAGACTGTGCAGGTTAGGATTTTAATTCTGGCCCCAAAAGAAAACAATCCCCAAACCTTACAAAGGATTTGAACCCAGGTCTCATGTATGAAAGCCCTACACCTTA